CCAGCATACGTCCGCGACACGCACGCCAGTGCCCGTCCGCAGATCCCAGCAACCCGCGCGTACACCCAGCGCCCGACGCGCCCGCCTGCGATCCGTGCATCACGCCATCGACCAGTGCATGCTGCCAGTGCCCGCACACATCATTCGCGACTTGCACGACGCCCGCACCTGCTCGTTGACCGCGCCCGACGCGCACGCCCGCTGCACCCGACGACCGAGACCTGTGCACCGTCTGATTGTGACCCGTTTGACGAGTTGATTAGAATCAACTAAAGGCTAAACCTATCCGCCCATTAGGTTGTGGTGTTCAGACGAACTTCACCAACGGTACTCTACATCGTCTCAGAGTCGGCAAAAATTTTAAAAGGTAAACGTCCATATCCTAACTATAGATTCTGCTGCGTTAGGATTTATTTCGATAAAGTTCAATACTGTGCATGTTGTTTGACGTTCCTAACAGAACCTAACACATGTCCTACTTCTCCCAAATCCTTCATATCAAATTGCTTGGATAACCATACCTTTACGTCTGATAACATCTTCACACTGTTTCCAATGAGAAGAATATCATCCATGTACAACACTAGAAACACCACCACGTTTCCATCACTTTTCTTGTACACACAGTACTCATCCAGACATTGGGTAAATCCATACGATTGGACAACCTCGTCAAAACGGATGTTCCATGACCTCGAAGCTTGCTTCAGCCTATAAGTGGACCTCTTCAGCTTGCAGACCGGATGCTCTTGGCCATTTGCAATGAATCCTTCTGGTTGCTGTATATAGATGTCCTCGTCCAAATTCCCGTTAAGGAAAGCAGTCTTAACATTCATTTGTCAAATCTCATAATCCATATGAGCGGCCACTGCTAAGAGAATTCTGATGGATTTGAGCATAGCTACTGACGAAAAGGTTTTCTCATAATCGATCCCTTCTTTCTGAGTGTACCCTTTCGCAACAAGCCTAGCTTTGAAGGTCTCAACCTTCCCATCTGCTTCTCTCTTTCTCTTATAGACTCACTTGCATCCAATGGCGCGAACGCCACTAGGTGGCTCTACAAGATTCCAGACCTGATTAGAGTCCATTGACCCTATTTCAGATTTCATCGCCTTTTGCCAAGACTCTGCATCCTGATCTTGGAGTGCCTCATTGTAAGTCCATGGGTCAGATTCAAGAACGTCCGGGAGGGCCTCAGAAGACTCTCCTAGACCCATGAACCGTTCGGGCTGCCGGACAACCGTCCCACTACGACGAGGTACTACCTTCCAAGTGCATCATCAGCGATACGTGCTGCAGTATTTTGTGGTGTAACATCTAGCGCACTCGGTATTGAAGTACTCACTCCCTTTAACTCCTCAAGAACATGTCTACTAGTGAGCTTATGATCTAAAGCATAGTCTTCTTCCAAGAACCTAGCATTCGTGCTAACGATTACTTTCTGGTCCTCGGGACTATAAAATAGACCACCTTTCGTTTCCTTAGGATATCCCACAAACAGCCTTACTTCTATTCTCGATTCCAACTTATCAGTATCGGTTCTCAGCATGTGTGCTGGACTACCCCAAATCTTGAGATGACTTAGACTGGGCTTATGCCCAGGACACAACTCCAATGGTGTAGACGGTACTGATTTAAAAAGTACTCTATTCAGAATGTGTATTCCTGTTTTTTCTAGGGCATATCCCCAAAATGAATCTGGTAAAGTACTATAACTCATCATTGCCCTAACCATTTCCATAAGAGTCCTATTTCGCCGTTCTGCTACGCCATTCTGCTGAGGCGTGCCACGCGCAGTCAGCTGGGACGTATTCCCATTATCCGTCAAGTAGTTCCTAAATTCATTCGAGAGATATTCGCCACCACAATCTGATCGTAATGACTTGATACTTTTTCCTAACTGCTTCTCCACAACTGCCTTATACTCCAAGAACTTCTCAAAGCATTCAGACTTGTGGTGCAGAAGGAAAATGTATCCAGATCTCGAGTAATCATCGATAAATGTAACGAAGTACTCGAAACCACCTCTCGCTTGAACACTCATAGGACCACATAGATCGGAATGAACTAGCCCTAACACATCTTTGGATCTATGCCCCTTTGAACTAAAAACCCTCTTAGTCATTTTGCCTTCCAGGCAAGACTCACAAGTTGGAAAAGCCTCGACTTCTAACGACCCCAAGGGCGTGTCTGCTACCAACCTTTGAACCCTCCTAAGGTTAATATGACCAAGTCTTAGATGTCAAAGATATGTTTCGTTCATTTTGGAAGGTTCCTTTCTCTTATTTAGATTAGATGATGATTTAAGTAATTGTTTTGTTGCAGTGGAGATGACTTAGATTCTAGAATGTATAGATTGTCAACTAATGAACCAGAACATATGAACTTTTTGCCAAAACGAACAACAACTTTATTATCAAAAGTAGCGAAAAAACCGTTCATAAACAACTTAGAAACTGAAATCAAATTCTTTCTAAAACTAGAAACATAAAGACAATCTTTCAAAACTAGAAACCTATCTAAGCCAAAATCTAAATAGACGTCTCCCACTGCAACTGCTGATCCTCTACTAGCATCGCCTAAGTAGATGGTAACTTATCCTTCCCTAAGTCGCTTGGTTTCCTGGAACCCCTACATTGAATTGCAGACATGATCAGTGGCTCCTGTATATACACCAAGTTTGCTGGAACACGCTGACGAGGCGGTCCTTCCCACAAATCGATATCGAATACCAAACACATACATACATGTTTTTGAATTACCCTAAGCATGCTCCTAAAGTATGAACAGAGGAATACCTTTCTTCGAGGCTTTGATTCGATCTGAGCGATCTTCTAGTCTGTGTCCTGACCACATTTGGACGTCGGATGGACGACGATCTACCAAACGGTTGAAAGGAGCAGATTGTGTTTCGTCTTCTCTGAACCCTTCGCGTGACTTTCTCCTCACGATGGTGGCTGATGGTGTCACGTTTTGTGATGCTGCGTAGGGTTCAAGACGTGTAATCCCTCCTTTTATAGAGGTCCTTGGGCCAGCCTAGGGATCTTGTAACGCCCCGTTCGTTTATGAATAATTTGGATTATTGTTATTATTATTATTATTTTTATCATTATCTGTGGCTATTATTATTGATTGTTAATTGTCTAAATGCTTAAATAATTCTTTATGTGCCTAATTGTGTTTATTATATATATATTAATTTCGGTATTTTTAATATAAATATTAAATAATAATTTTAAATATTTTAATTATTATTATTGTAATGTTAATTTCGTCGAACCGAGCTCGTTCAAACCGCGCGCCGTGAGCCGCGCCCCGAGCCACGTCCGCGCCGCTAACCATCCGCCCCTCCCCTTCCTCTCCTTCCTTTTGTGTGTTGTGGTTTATTTTGGCAAGTCTTGTAGGTTAAGCCAAAATACCTAGCTATATATATGGGAGATGATCATTCTTCCCTTCCTCATTTTTTTAGCCGCCGACCCCCTCCATCTCCCTCCCTCTCTCCCGATCTCTCTCTCGCTCTCAGCCCCTCCCTCGGCCTCCCGTCCGTCGCGCCAAGGCCACGCGAGCTCTCCCTCCGGCCGTCGCAAGTGCCCAGCAGGTGGCCCCGTCTCGCTCGCAAGTCCCAGACCTCCGTTCGTGCACCCCCCATCGATCCCAGCGCCCAGCAGACGCGCACGAGACGCCCCGGCAGCCCGCGCAAGTCGCCAGCGCACCGGCAAGGCCGTCACCCCGTGCATCCGCGACTCCCTCGGCCCGTCTACCTCCCTCTCGTGTGATTTATCCCGAGAACGGTACAAGGCTGATACTTTTCATTATTTTAGTATTTATATGCCTTATGATCATGCCTTGTTGAGAGATCTTGCGTTAATATTTATTATATGATCGATTTTGCTCGTGTGTTAGTTGTTCATGTCATTTGATTGTGATCTGATGTTAAATCATGATAATTGCTGTGGATCTATGGAACACTTGAAGTCTTTGGCCTTATGATGAAGGCCTTAGACGAAATTATTGATTGATTTAATTGTTTTGCATTTTTGAATCGTATAGTGTTGCTGAATCTTCGAAAAATTATTTAAATTTTTATACTCGTCCGATTGCTGCGAAATTTGAACTGTATAACCCTCTGATGATGTTATAAGCCGTGTAAAAATTTCAAGTAAAAATAAGGTCTGTAGCTATTTTTTAAAAATTATTGTAATTTCTGGTTCGATTCATATTTAATTTATAATAAATTTAGTTGTGCTCTAAACTTTATGAAATTTTAGTATGTTGTCTTTCTATATGATTATGATGTTGTGTAAAATTTTTATAATTTTTAGACTGAGATTGATAGGGTAAATAATCTATTTAATGTTTTTGCAGAAAGACGTTTTTAATTATGATAAATCGGTCCTTTGCTAAATAATTCTGATATTTGGCTGAGAAGCTAGTTTTATGTGGAGTTTCATGTTGTAAAACGATTAGAATTTTTAGAGCTCAAATTGGTTCAGTTTTAATTAAAATTTGATAATCTGCTGAATTTTGTATGAATTTTCATAATTTGTGTATTTGATGTTAATTTCTGGAATTTGTATATG